AAGAAGAAGAAGAAGAAGAAGAAGAAGAAGAAGAAGAAGAAGAAGAAGAAGAAGAAGAAGAAGAAGAAGGAACTATTAAAACATGCCGTTTATGTTCTCTCTTTAATGCATTTACGTAATGTTATGGTGATGTATTGTCTCAATAACCCCCTGGCGGTCCTTTTACAACAATGTATGCTATGTTTGTACTGTTATGTATTCTGTATGTCAATAAAGATCTATTTAAAAAAAGAAGAAAACGTCACCTGCTAATAAACACCAGAAGAAGAGAAGGCGGACTTTGCTTCGCTTCCTTTCAAGGTTATGGCGGTAGAACTCTGTTTCTGTGGGCTTAGAGACTGTAGATTTGGATTGATATCATTGAAGGGAATCAATATGAATGCAAAACTTAATAGAAAAGCGGCGTATGGTGGATAAAATGTTAATAACTCTGTGTTACGTCTATATGTGGGTCCGTTTTCACAAGTGTTACTCGGTGCTGATCCGCAACAGTCTGTCCAGGCTGAGAAGCAGGAAGAACAGCCTCTGTCTCAGCTTCTGTTCCGGCTCCAACTCGGGCTCTGCGCACCCCACAGCAACGCCCCCAGGACTCCACACAGCCGTTCCACATTCCCAGCAGCTTTTTCCTCCCGAGGATAATGTTTTCCTCCAGCTCGGAGACAAGGCCGTCTATGTCACGGAGGCTCAGGTTAGACATCTGAGCTTAGCTGGAACACAGGTCGCTTTCTGCCCCCATCTTGTTCTTGAGAGGGGGAGGAAACACGCAAGAATATTCTGCTTTCATGGAACACAGCAGGTGGAGAAAGTAAAGTGTGTTTTCCAGAAGGGTCTGGTTCACAAGATTAGCCCAGAAAATTCAGTACTTCAAAATTTAAACTTATAAGTTTACCAAACTTTTTACAGAGCAAATCAATGTCTTCTTAATGCTCAGGTTATTTGGTAATCGTCAGTTAAAGGTTTAGAGATTGTGCTGAAATTAGCGCCAAAAAATCCAAACGCATTATTTTCATTGAATATTGGTATTTGTTTTCATATTTATGTAAATACTGATGGCTCAGTGACCATGAAAAATCCCGAGTCACTTCAGACATATTTGTTGCTGTAGATGCATAAAAAATTGGAATGAAAAAAACTGGAAAGCTGGAATGATTGTTTTCAGAATTTTCTGCTTCTTATCTGTAGTTATTTGTTCACATACACCACATTCAGATCTGTCTTCCACGCGTTTCTTATGTCTTTATTATTTGCTTAAACCCCTGTCACTGCATACACGATAATGGTTTTATACAGGCACCTTTTCTTGATTGTTTTTAATACTGTTTTAGGCTTTTGGCTTCGGTTAAATCCTAAACATTGATGAGGTGGTTATTGTTTCATCTTTACAAAAAAAAGATCACTTATGAAGAATAATTGTTGCTTAGTAGCATGCATCCATAATCCATTTTTTTATCATTTGGACTTAACTTTAAAAACATTACCATGTTTGTAGTCTGATTCAAAGGCTATTAGACTGTTGCATATACCCTGAGTTGACTTAAATCAGTTTATAGAGATAAACCATCCACTTAGCTGTGTAGAGAGGCTGCTTCACTTGGACAAGTTGATACAGTTGCCATGTAAAACACATTAATACTAGACTTGAAATTTTGTTGACATTTGTTGTAATGGAAATAAATATATTACCTATTAATATCTGGTTGTCACAAGCTACAGTGTCTTTACAAAGCTATTCACATTTGAGGGTTTTTTTTTTTTTTTCAAAACCCCGATTCATTTTTCTTCCTCTTCTGTTGGAAGCCACTTTGTTGTTGGTGTGTAAACATTAAAACATGATAAAATACATTGTAGGTTGTAGTTGTAACACCACAATCTCTGAAGATTTAATGGATGTGAATTGTTTTGCAAGGCTCTGGTCAGTTTTTCTCTGGCAATGTGTCTACACTCACTTGCCAAAATTCTGGAATAATCCTCATTCCTTCCTGTGATGTTCCCCCAGGAGTGTGATGACCTCAGCCAATGGACTGTTCTTGGATCCTCTTTAATTGATGCTCAACAAATAGATAATATTTCATTCATAATAGAAGCTGCAGAGAACCAAGTGGGATATCCTCCTGCAACAAATAAGCAAGTAAGCTCCAATTTAAAAGTTGCATGACAAGAACATGTGGACAAGTAGTACCTGAAAAATTAATTTAAAGGGTTAAGAAAGTTGAAATGATGAGGGGAAAAAAAGGAAAAAGAAAAAAAATCATCTGCTACCAAAAGAACAATAAAATGCAAAGATGATTATTAAATAAGAAAGTATGGTACCTCTGCCTGGCTTTCTAACCAATATGGCCAGACAGATTTAAATAGAGGCTGCCTAAAGTGGTGGATTAGCAATGTTTGCCAATAACTGATGATGGCCCCCAGGACAGGTCACTGTGGAATATTCTCTGCTTTCCCAAAATTCAGCTGTTAACATGTTATGACAGTCACATGACTGTCATAGTCTTAGTCAAAGGCCTCTTCAGATTTGCTGCAAGATTGACTGCTACTAGAGATCTTTCCTGCCTACAGCATCACCAACTGCTTGAAGATTCTTTGATGATATAAGTTATAACATTTAATTTCCCTTTTGGGATAAATAAAGTATTTTTGATTTGATTTAAATTGTAAATTTTTGTGTTAGGAAACAATTCAATTAGATTTTATTGTGTATTAAGGAGTAATAGCATTCATGTTGGGGGTTTTTTATATGCAGGTACTGAAGTGGTCTGACTACTGTTTCCCCCTGGCCTTCAGCCCGGATCAGCCATTCAAGGCGGTGGCACAGACTAGTCTAGATAACTTCAGCCGTCTTGGGGTCGCTTTTATTGAAGATCGCCTTCAACTGGACAGTGGACTGGTGCCTTCAAAGATAATCCGTATGTTGCCCTTCACTGCATTTTGTCATCAGCCACTAGTTACAGAAGAGAATTATCATGTGATAATTCTAAGCTGTCAGAGTGATGTCTGTGCAACATATGTAATACTTGATTGGCATACTGGTGGTAATGTTCAAGGTAGGTCAGTAATTATAGTTTTTATCAGGTGTATTGGGTTTATTTATTGTTAACGAGGTGTGAAAAACAACTAGTTTTCACTAACTCAGCTTGTCAGGTCCAACTTACCTTTATGAGTATGAAGATGTTTATTCTACAAAATCTAACTTGGTTGTTTATGACCAATAAAAATATCACATGTCAAAGTGTTTCCCATTAGTCTGACGGAAGGAAGCTGAACTTATGCTTCAATGTTTGGTTCAGAATGTTATAGTTGCTTAGACTAGCACACTAAACCCAGCTTAGATAAAAGATTTAGGCGCAACTAAACTCCTTATTGAAAATTCACATTAAGATGAGAGTTGGAATGTTTTAAAGTAAGATTTTCTTGAAAGTTTATGACCGGCCAGTAAGTAACCTGACAGTCTTAGTTGTTGTTTACGCTTTAACTTACTTTCATTATATCACTCACTGACCAAGTCACTACAGATGTAAACAGCATCACTCTGCATTTATAGTACTCTGTGAGAAATATTTTACTATTTAAAGCCTTTGTGTACACAGAATGAAAGCATAGTAGTGAGTTCATCTTTTAAAATCATTTAAGTGGTTTTTAATGTCTGGCATTTTAATAGTTTATGCATTAACCCATTAAAATGCCATTAATACAGAGATTTTTCAGTAATGACACTAACTCACATTGATTTTGTTTGTAAATGACCACAGAGTTGTGTGTCAGTAGCATTCTCATTTTATCCTGATGTTGGCTGAAAGAATCGTCTGCCTGAAGCGCTGTTACTTTAGTGACTTGTTCAACATCTTGTTGGCTGGAAAACTAAATTCTGTTTGCTGATTCTTAGGCGGTTTAAAAGAAAACAAGTGAACAAGACTTTCACACATTTTTTTTTACTCATTTTTTTTGTATTTCTGCTGAAAGAACCTAAATATTGTTTTAGGAAGCATCCATGTTTGAAATCTAACCTAACGATAAAAAGAAAATATATTTTGTGTCATATCTTTAAATGTCCCCATGTCAATTTATTCTGTTGAATATCAATATGTCATATAACTGACTATGTTTGGTGGATTTTGGCTTTTTCCATATAGCTGTTTTGCTCCAAGAGAGCACTCTCAGAAAGGTGTTGGAACGGCAGTGTCTTGAGAGGCCACAGCCTGTGGGGGCGCTCTTACTTTCGTCCACTACTCCTGAGGAGGGCCTCTCCGAGTCATTCTCTCAGCTGTTGCCTGCTGACCAACAGAATCTGCACTTGCGAAAAGGTAGTCTCCTGCTACCCCTAGAGGTGAAGAAGAGGCTGCAGGAGCGGCGGGGATCAGAGCCTCTGCCCAACTCTCAAACTGTTAATTTAGAATCCCATCATCACCACATGGAGGGCTATGGACACCACCTTCATCTCTCCAGCTGCCATGAATGTTTAGAACTGGAGAACAGCACCATCCTCTCTGTCAAATATGCCTCGGCTGAGAACATTCCAGATCTACCTGATGACACCTCTGTGGGGCTGGATAGTGTGGATGGGTGTCTGGCTGAACTAGAACATGATTCTACGGGGTTTTTTGGAAAAGCACCAAACATTCTTGTGTACACAGGTGGATGTGAGGAACGTTTTCAAGCAATTCATCAACTTTTGGTAGACTGCATAAATGTGGAAAACAACACTATTTATCCCCTCCTGCAAGAACAAGCGCTAAGTGACCCATGGCTGGACAACACCAGGCTCCTGGTTTTGGCAGAAGAGGAATCCTTGACTGCTGAGCTTCAGACTCGCTTTCTTACTTACTTAAGCAAGGGTGGGAAGGTGCTAGGGCTGGGCTCCGCTTTGTGCCCGGCAGGTCTCCATCTGGAAGTTAAGGAAGGACAATGCCTCCAGTGTAGGAAGTTGATCTTCACCAGAGAAGACAGCACAGAGCTGGAAGCAACCATTCTGGCAAGTGGAAAGGTCTACATTCGGGATCCTCAGGGAGGAGGGGAAGTGGAGCTCTGGGGGGAGCTGAGAAGTGACGTCGCGAACCAGAGAGAAATGGTTATTGTCAGGTTAACTCATGGAGCCGACGGCGGGGAAGCTGTCTTCTGTCAGGTAAAGATATTATACATAAGGAGTGCAAATGCTAATGGTACAAATTTTAACACCAGGACAACAGTTACATGTTTTCAGGTTTTATGCTGCTGGATTGGAACCAGGTTGGAAGTGGAGCTTTAAAATGCAAAATGTTTCAAAATGTAAAACATGTTTTTACATTTTGAAAAAACACATTTTTCAAAATGTACAAGACAAGCTCCCAAAGCTCCTGTTCACAATCCCCCGTCCGACACTTTTAGGAGAATAACATTCATCTTTTGAACCACTGGAAATGTTTAGGATGGATGGAAGTGGATGTTTACAAACCAGGCGGGGATTGTGAACTGCAGCGTTGTTCTGTTAAACCACCCACTCTTTGCTAAATAGGAGACAACCCTCAGTCCAGAAGGATATTGCTGCTGGGTGTCCATGTTCTCAGCAGAATTAAATTAAAATGATGGTCTTGAAGCATCCAATTTTGCTTTGCTTTTACATCTCAAAAAGAGAAAACATTTTTGCAATTCCAATTATGGTGGTTGTGGTAGTCTGAAAGTAGACACTGATTTTGACTTTTTAAAACTACAGTTAAACTTTTGATCAGCTGTTTGCTCCTGTTTTTTTGTGTGTCATTTTACATTTTGAAGATTAAGTTACAATCTGGATATGATTCACCAGCAAACCTGATTCGGTAACTTCTCTGGTGCTAAGGTTTTGATCAGGAGAGTTTTTGATTTGCTAAGATGCCTGTAATTGTAAAGGTTTGTTGGGTGTTGTATCTCAGATCATCTGCTCTTATTGGGGCCTGCCATAGCAATGCATAGGGAGAGCAGTGACTGACTTGCTTCGCAAGTCAGTCACTGCCTCCATGCATTGCATGGCAGGCACCTATTGTTCTACACCTAATAGAATGTCTCTTTATTATTACTGGGGCCTGCCCATAGCAGTGCATAGGGATATGGCGGAA